AAAAAACGCAAACTCGGCAAGTCGTATGTTCGATGCTAATAACATTTCTCCAGGAAGTTATCAGTTGTGTAATATCAGGGTTTATTGCCTGCAAAATTACTTTAACGCCATCAAAGTCACGATAGAACAGAAAATTTGACGTTTTGTCGGCATAATCCAATATACTTTTAACTAAGCTAAGAATATTCACATGATTTTCAGCCTAACATCGGCAGAAAATTCTAAATTGAATATTCAGCACTAGCTGGAAAAAAACCCGATATTCGTATCCTGGGAAACTTGGAAATAGAGCAGCATTTGGACGTTTCGGGTTAACGTACGGGCGAACTTTCATTAATAGTTAATGTTTCATCGAACAAATCATTTCTTCTCTCCGTAGACTTTATTGCACATTCAACCGGAATAACGATCACTTAAACGACAGACGCCCACGTCAGACACCAGGTAACTAACAAGTGAATTTACATCCTGTTTATACCGACATCTTTAGTTTTCACTTAGAAAAATTAAGCAAAGTCGAATCCAACGTAAAATTCAATTTGATTTAATACACCATTTCGGCTGGCCACTGCCCGAACCTTCTTCAGGTTTGGAGAAAATGTCCGCCTCTTCACTTTAACATTATGATAAAATGGCATGACATGAACGTGGCCCTACCGTATTTAGGCAGTGATTACTGATGATTTAGCCGTACTACCTTAGAATCTTTCTTCAAATTGTTAAGTCGGCCGAGATCTGCAGTAGTGGTCAAACATAAATCTGATTATGAATTACAACTGAGAAATTGAAAAAGTTTTCATTAGTGCCCCTGATCAGCACTGAAATATCCTAATGTGATGTTATCAAGTTATTTATCGTTCCTAATGAATCTGGAATGCCGGGGAATGTACTCAGGCTAAAGTAATTTTAAGTGCTGAATGTACCTCCGGTTGCCGCGAATGATTTTGTTTAGTCAAATAAATATACTATATTAAAAAATTGTAATCTTAACAGATCTATAAGAGATGGAGCATGTGATGATAAGCGTCCAACACAACGATGACACAAGCCAGATTTGAATCTCGTTAACCGATGATCTGATTCACTCAGCAGGATCTCGTTACATCTGTAAGGCTCCATCCAAACTACGCCTGAGAAATTTGAAAACGCAGCTGTATTTCTACGGGTAGGCCGTAACGAAAACGGAGCTTTTAGAACGACGCTCTTCAAACCGGAGAAATTTGAAAACGCCGGCTTTTCGTTTTCGTGTGGACAGACAACATTTTGAAAACGGAGCTTTTCGAAAACGATGGGAGCACGACAATCATTTGATTTCCCTAACCGAGTTCTCCTCAACTAACAAATCCAAAATAACCGGTGATTGTTGCGTTTTCAAATTCCTCCTACGTAGTGTGGACGGGGCCTAAATCTGTAACAGCCACTCTCCTCTTGGACTTCTTAATTTCAATTCTGTAATTGTATTTTAGGGAATGCATCTAAACCATTTTTTTAAATTCTGGATCATTGGATAATGCAATTCGAGAGTTTTCATTGGCTTAGCAATCATGAGTTATGAGCCATTATACGTACGCGTGATTTTTGGGGCCTCTTTTATTTTTATTTTAGTTTCGTTTTCAATATTTCGGGGAAGTNTTAGCTTAGCCGTCATGATACAAATATGGTAAGCGCAAGCGTATATTTTGGAGTGTTTTAAGTTTCTATTTTATTTTAGTTTTCTACATTTTGGAGGCGTTTTCAATAAAACAATTATTCTACTCGAGTTTGTTGGACACGAGCTGATTATAGCCCACGCGCTCGTGGAATAATTGTTAAATAGCCTCCAGAGTCCTTTATTTGTCCGTCAAAATATTTCATTGAAAGTACCTAATTCACAAATAAAGGACTTGCCTAATAAGACAACTTTAACCAGACTGAATACAAGATTAACAAGAATGTTGTTGGAAAATTAGTAGACATTTTCATAAAAGATATATAAGCCTAAGTTTTAAATATGCTGTGGGAGCGGAATATATCGCTATGAATTGAAAGGACTCTAAGCATCCACGGAAACACCCACGTTCGACTCGCATGTAATTTCCACAGCTAAAGTTTCAGTTTCTCGTTCTCCTTATAATCCATTCGTGTGTTGCCGTAGTCTAAAATTCATACGCTACAACCGGGTTCTTTCTTGAAGGTCTGTTTTGGAAGGTGAAAGCCTTCCTTGGTGCATGGTATTCTTAATCAAAGGACGTTTGAGCACGTATAGTCTGATTTGTGGCACCAAGCTGTTCGATCTGTTTCGGGATGCTATTCGCTTTTGTCATCAGTCCAGTTTCTAACATAAGCATCTACATCGAAACATGTGGTTAATTCCTTCCGTTTTGCTGAAAATACAGCAGCTTACCAACAGTACGATTGGTACATTGGGCAATTTATTTTACTCGAATGGAGCAGCTGCCTCGGATCTCTGTCTTTTATATTTACCGCTACACAATTATTATTTTAAAAAATTAAGAAAAAGATGCGTCAATGGTATAGCCCAAGACACGATACACGAAGCTAACAACTTGGTTTAGTCTCAACAGGCAACCATTTGGTTCTACGATGTTCGTTCCTAAAGTACATGTGTTTTGTGTGCAGTTACTATTTAATGAACATTTTGCAACATGGTCAGATTTTCAGAACTATTTCATTTATTTCGATTACTTTAGCTTTTCATATGCGGATGATAACTAATTTCTACAAACAGAAATCAATAATTTGTAATCGTATAAATTGTGTTTTCTTTAATTTCCATAAACATTTAAAAATGTGCACTGCATAAGTATTCACAAACTCAGTGACGATTAAATTAACTACCGCGGAGGAACGAAAATAGAGAGCGCGAAGGTAACGCCGTTTGTCTCGTATGCTGGTTGAAATACGCATCATAAATCTGTAGTTCCTAAGCAGAACAAAAGACGAGGCCAAGCTGATCATGAAACGTAGAATCAATTTTAAAAATCTGTAATAATCGTAAGCTTAAAAAGGATTTCCGTCAAATTCATAAGATGATTGAAGAAGCCCTAGCCAAAGCCATAGCCGAAAAACACAGCACATACATGCAAAGGTAAGAGGTTGGCTTAATTGAAATTTTTACTAGAAGGAAACTTTTTGGCCATAGTTGTAATCAATTTGGCTTTACAGACATGGTATATAGGTTGACGTGCAAAATATTTCTTGAAATCTGTTATTAGACAAATTGCTACTTTGCGAAGCAATACCCGGACTTTTTCAATTTAGTAGGTGGGAGCTCTGAGCAAACAAGAAGTTTGATTTTAAATGACACGTTTTTCCACTGCGGATTTAAATTGCCTTTACTATGTTTTCCGAGTATTCTTGCTCACAAATTTGAGCGTCTGATCTATTCGGACTAATAAATTAAGTGCTTAGTTTGATTTTCACTATTTTTATAACAGAAACTTCGAATTGACCACATTTCTCAGTAAACTGATCTATGAGAAACCTGAACCACTCGGTGAAAAACAAATTCGAAGTCCATCACGCGAAACGAAGGTCGTGAATTGATTCGTAGGTTATTTGTGGAAACACTGAACGTTTCTATTTATTTGTTTTGTCGAATAAATTCAGTATGATATATTACTAAATATCTTAAACACGATTTTTTTTAACAGATAAGCCCGAAAATTGCCATGACAAAGGTGACATTTATATAACACTGAGCGTTTATGTGAGAATTCTGATTTTACAAAAACATGATCATTCCTGAAAATGCATTTTTTTGGGGGGTGAAACAAGCCATTAGTTTCTATTAAGCTAAACAGCCCTTTCTTTCCGGTCAAATTGGACAATTTTACAATTTCGACGAGTTTTGTTCGTAACCTAATTTTTTTTTAATAAAATAGCACTTTACGTTATTCATGAGATGTGCACTGTTGCATAATTAAATCACCTTCTGCAAGAAATAAATTTATACCAGAACCAAAGCTATAATTTTGAGTGAATTAGTGATCAACATCTATGAAAGCATGCAAATTAGACAGCCTTAGCAACTACTTTGCTGCCATCCGTTGTTATGCATATGTATTTGAACCTGTCGTAACCACATAGGCGCGCACGCTTAGTACTGTCCGTGGTGAGAATCCCATTGACATTGTTTTTTTTTATGAGCTTGGTAAAGGGATCTTTGCCTCGATTGATAATTCGCGTCGTAAACTTCCATTACTTGTGTGCATTTAGCTAAAATGTGAAAACTTGTCAATGGTAAATACTCAAGAAGAGAATAATGCACCTTCAGTATGTAAACACTATATGAAAGATTTCATTAGCTAAATGACCAGCTCAGGTTCATATTTACCGCCCTCATTGATTTTTGCCGCTTATAGCTACCACTGCCCCGAAATACACGCACAAAAAAAAAACAACAACAACACCAAAAAATTCGCAAGAAAGCCGGTTTGATTTTTTGTCACTAAATGCATAATTGATTATTATAAGTTCTAAAGATGTGATCACTAAATTGATTGTGGGGAATCGTTTAAATGCAAAAAAGTAAAATTAAGTCATTTTATATACCCGTCTTATCATTGCAATGCCGATTGTCGTTTAAGGCTCTGGATTCTATCACTTGAATGTATTAAAAAAACACACAGACACATTTAACGAGAAGGTTTAAAAAAAGCGTCTCTGTACTGGTGTGAGATTTCTTCGGATGTCAACAACTAAAATAAACATCGCTAAGCTCTTATGTTCTCTTTTTCCATCTTTTTTTCTTTTTGTTCCTGACTAATTATAACTTTTTTTATTTGGTAGTAAGGCCTTCAAAAATTCTTGTTTAGGATATATATATATACCTGCACAAAATCTTGCATGCAATGGAAACACAAGACACAAGATATTTTCACGACTTGACACAATTTGTACGCATGCGCACAGCCAATTTTTAGCTGTGCAGCCCAGCTGAATAATCCTGCTTGTTAAAACCAGTCAGTGCGGATGTTTTGGTAAATCTCTAGATCCCTTGAGGAATCAATCGAAATCATGTCGTACTAACTACGACAAAATCCTTTAGCAGAAGTGCATTCTCAGTTATGAGTTCAAGCAAAATTCAACATATTAAATTTCAGTAGAGCCGCTTATATGACTCCAATTTCCTTTTGGCAATTTCCAATCATTTCCATTAGGACAAGGCTGTCAGGGTTCCATTCTGGCTGAACAAAAACTTTGCCTTATAAAAGCGTGAAATAACACAAAACGACGTGAACGTTTAGTAATGTTTTCCCTATATGTTTCCGTAACCAAGAAACGTCCCTTCTTTGTCCATCCAAGCTGTCTTCGGTTACCTCTCCAAAAGCAAGTCAAAGTACAAAAAAATTTATGTGATAATGTAGAAGCAATAATGTGTGAAAGAAAAACTGTTGGCTTGTAAAACATCCTTGTCGATAATATAGCCTTTGCGTGTCAACATTTTGTTATACCTGCCACGCCATAACTTGTTCGTTTAGTAGTTACGTTTTATTAATGTTGGTGACGTAAATCACTGACACTATAGGGATGGAATAAAGGCTAGATTGTTAATATATAAAACGGTCGTGAGCGAGCACAAAATTCTGATGTTTCTCGTTTGAAAGTCAAATCATGGCAACGTTTACAGCATTGATTGATCGTGACTAACATTAGAAGGCGTAAAAGGCAATAACATTTCCAAATAATATCACACTGAAAAGGGTGAGTTGATCGCAAACATCCTGTGTTGAAATATTATTCAATGAATATTGAAGAAGGCTTTCCGTTTGTCAAAGTAGTTAGTTTGACAAATACTCTGTTTGAATGCATTAAGGTACTTTACGAATGACGATTGATATTTGGCGATTACGACGAGTTCAATCCTTACTAAATTCATGTGACTTGTTCCAAACATTTCGCCTTGGTCATTTATGCCATATTTAATTTCAAGTGTAATTCCAAGATTGTGAGGCGAAACCGAAGCAAAGGGGATTTATGTTTTGTGCTACCACGCATGTATTCTGAAAAACTGGAAGGGAAATACGATTAAGACGCACAAAAAAGCCTTTTATACTTCAAAAGCCGACATTAAGCCCTTTAACTTGTTTTTGGCAAATTGGTATTTCGTACCTGATTATTTGCTTTATTTGTCAAGTCAAGCCAAAATAAGCAAAAATTAATAAATCTTCCGGAGGATCTTTCCCTTGCTAATGACAGCAAATGACCTTGTGTCGTGTGGGCTAAAACGTAAAGTGACTAAGTACAAATAAAATCACTGCCTCTAGAATGCATTCAAATGTGGCTGTCAACTATTATACAATTTTTAATCTGTTTCTTACGAAATTGTTGTCTCGTATGGCCAAGAAGGTTCAGAAAATATCCGGCACGTTTGAATTAATGAAACACATTCTGTTGAGCTCCTAAGGCTGAGGAAGTATAAGTAAGAAGAAAGATTCACGCAAATTTTTCTACCAGCTCATGAGTAAATTTATGACAAGCTAAAATTATGTAAAAAAGGATGTCCTTCAGCGTAACTAACTAAACCGACTGTTCTATTTCTTATTCTTCTTCAGCTGTCATTTTTAGGCCATTTGGTAATTAGGAAAAAAAAGCTTTAGACATTTTATTTCAAAATTTTGTGTAATAAAATTTGCATATACTTAAAATTAAACTTTATCCTTTATCTCTTTCCAGGCGACACAATTAAATTTCATCTCGTGGCTTTTTTCTGAGGAGTGGCTCAGTGTGTGGTGAATTGTGTGAGGACAAAAATCCAATAACGAAAGAGGTAGGACACTTTTTGTATTAAATCAATGTAAAACCAGCTTGCAAGGAATATCAAGTACAGTAAATTACTTAAATTGGTATTAAATTTTCCATGGTCTCGATCTAACAGCAAAAAATCTAGTCTTGTACGAGTTTTTTAAAGGATAACAATGATGTTATGATTTCGGTAAGAGTTCCATTTCTTGAATGTCCATGTTTGATCGTATTGTTTGTCTTTTTTTCCATTGATTGTGATGCATGAATGGATACTAACCTGTTCCAAAAAGGCGTGCGTAATTTTGATTTCCTTTTAGAAATGAATCAGTTTTGATAAACATCACATCATTGTTGAATTTTTTCTACCAGTTCGGGTTGTGGCAGATAATCGCTGAAAGTGATCGTCACCTTTAATTTTTGTCTTTTACTTTCGCCCTTGTTTAGAACTATCATTGTTTTTCATCCAAAATATTTCTAAAATGGCAGGTATACAAGGCTAAAAACTAGAAAAGAAAAATTACTATAAAGCCGAACGTTTTCCACTTATTCCCATCATCAGGCGCATTAAAGATTTGAAAAGATTTAAAATAAACAAGGTCTGAATGTCTTCCTTTCCGAATTTGCACTTTTTTTAAGATCGCTACATTCTTTCGTGAAAGCGTATTTAATAAGTAGACATCGAAAAAAAAAAATGGTACAGGTTTTTTCTGATTACTTTGACGGGTAAAGTATTTTGTGGGTGAATTTTAATTAATTTTCCTTCAACGAGGATTTTTGCCAACACTGTTGATTTTCAGCACTTTTAGCATTCATACAAAATAACAAAATAACCTAAAATTGTAAATAACTGGTTTAACTTAAACATGGCTAACAACACGATTTGGTTCTCTACTGTCACTGTTTATTTCCTGTTTCTAATTTCTTGCGAGGTTAATTTTTTGTTTTTTTTGTCTATAGTCATTAATAGAAGGCACGGAAAGTCGGAATTTGCCAATCACTTTCAGGATTAAATAAGTTCAAAGAAAAATACGAAGAGAATTCAATCGCTTCCATGTCTGAAAGCACCAAGGAGCACGCAAAGGAAAGTCTTATGCAAATGACCAGGGCGCAACAGACCAACCGGCTAGTCGTGCGACTCTCATGGTTTCAGGCTGAACAAGCGAGCATTCGATCACATTTGTTATCGCTGGAAAAAAACATTTGATCATCCTTGAAAGGGCACTTACCACAATTCAAAAGTGTGATAATTATCGGGAAATTAAAGTGATTTGAAGCCAGAGAACTCCGCCAATAGAAGCATTAAAAAGAGAACAGAAAGTAAACGACAACGAAAAGTTGACAAAAGATGTTCTCGACTATGTTTTTAAATTTTAAGAAGTGACACTTTGAAAGAAAAGATTTGGGTGGTCGCTAGAAATAGAAATTCTTGAATACCGGGCGGTGTCGTTTCTTAACCAGACTGGCACTCACTCAAGTCAGGAATGAAAATTTTCTCGTTATAGGCGCCAAAAAGATTTCATCGTAGATGAACATAGCTTTGGGCGATCTTTTATTGAATTACCAATGTTAAAGCATGCTAAGCTTAACATGAGGACGTACACAAGGCTACATATTTCTTGGTCAAAATAGAGATTTTATTTCTCACGTTGATGGACAGGACTGCATCTTAAAGAATACTCACGGTGTAAACTATAGATTAGACACAGTCAAACTGACACAAAGCGATTCAAATTGTTTCTAGCCCCAGTCTAGGTTTTCAACCTATTGCCAACTTCCAAAAATCAGACTATAGATATCTTGCAACTTTAATTTTTATTTGGAACATTTGTGCTAAAAATGCATTCAAGTCGCTCAGTCTCGGCCATTAATAAGTGTCAAGAAGGAATATAGGATGATTGTGACTCGCCATGAATAATTAAAGTCTTGCATTATACTGTAAAAATCAAAAGCTATCAAACTCATCGCCTTCAGTTGCTCAATTGAGATACTTGAGATGCGTCATGCGTTCATCAGCCGGTTTACTTCTCAGTTGTCAACTTAAGGTCAATTAACAACAACAACAACAACAACAACAACAACAACAACAACCATTTATTTGTACTCACAATTTATAAAATAATTACAGTAAACATTAAATTAGTATAGAGTACTGCCTGCCCAAAATAACCATAAGGGCTAAAAAGAATGGGCAGAAAATTAATTGAAACGCTGCTATGATATTAGGTGATTTTTGCTCAATGTAGAAAATGTTCTTCAAACCAAAGAAACTGTCATAAAGGCAGTAGTTTAACCTGTTGAAACGAAGAGACACGAATGGTTAAGATTAGAAGGGATTGAGATGGATAAAGAAAGGCGAATTGGAAGAAAATAAAGTACACTACTATTTGTGACGCAGCCCTATTAAATAAAGCTACCGCTATGTCGCTATGTTCTAAATTTACAACAGGCATAATTTTTATCAATTGCCTTGTTTACGCCAACGCGCACGTCGTCTTATGGTTGAAGTGGAACTCTTAGCTTATTGGCGCGCGCCGCCTCTTTGGGAATTCTCTGAGCACTTAACTGTCCCGTGAAATAATTGCTTTTAATTTGTTATGCACGGCGGTACGCTTGTGCATCTATTAGCCTTTTGTTTTCAAAGCGAAGCCACAGAAAACACAGGTGACTTCGGGCAACTGTTTTATCGAATTCGCACGTAACAACCGAAACTCCAACCAATGAGTGAATATGTCACATTTATGGTGGTTGACGTAAATGTCCAGATTTCAATTTAGATTTCTTCTGACTGGCATCATAAACTTGTGATCAGTGAATCAGGCGAAACCAATTGGAGTGAACAGAAACTCGCTCCGTAGCAGAGCTTGAACGAAGTAAGGTAAGGTCAGTATTTATTTCCTCGCAATCTTCTACAAATTGTTTCCACTTAAAAAAGCCGTTATATTGTTTATACAGTATATTGTTCATTCGGTTATTACTCAGTAATTTAGTATTACTGACAATCTTTCTATGTAAACGTTATATTGGGTTACGAACAGAGTAGCAGAGAGGAAAACTTTTAGTCGATCGTCGACTGCGAGAATTAATATGTAACTCTCTTTTCTTTCGTAAATTTGATTCATTCCAAACAGACTTCCTCTGACATAAGTGATCTGTAGATATATTTTCATCTCCTTATGAAAAAAGATAGAGGCCTTTTTCATTTAATTTATCCTTCATCTGTATTAGCATTCTGTTAAAAACCGATTATACGTTTTAGCCAGATCGAGGAAAATATAGTTCTCCTAGAAGTCTGATGAAATTTGCATTGAACTCCCTTAAAGCTCTTTCTGTAACTAAGACACGTTTTACCAATTGTTCATGCACTTTGCAAGCTAAGGGATTTATTTTACATTTTAAATCGCTGCATTATCGGTGCAAGCAGATTCAAAGACAGAATGCCAAATCTCGTTCTCCAAACAAAAGACATAGTCGTTTTTGTTATATCACATTTCCAAGCTCAATTAAAGTTGAACGCAAATCAATAGGGCTTAATGAATACAAAATAACAACTGTAAAGGGCTTCCGCCGTGATTTTACAAACAGGGATAGGCTTTGATTATAGTTATTCTGCCTTAGGTTATGTCTTTGGGCAATTAAAAAATATTTTCAAGCCTAATAAACAATTGGAAAGCGCAACATAGCTTTAGTTCGTAAAACAGTCGATCATTTCGCACTCGCGATAAAAAACGTTTATCGATAAAATCTTGCCGCATAACCTTGCTAGAAATGAAATGCTATAACGTGATTCGGTGATATGATATTAATTTCACGTTTGTTCCGGCTCCCATTAGGGGCTCGAAGAAACAGTCAAAATAAATGAAATTATACTTATGACTGTTAATAAACAAGGAGTTTTTGTTTCTCCTTCTGTTTCTTTGTACCTGTAGGCCCAGTAAAATACTTCGTCTCGGTCTATCCGACCAATATTCATAAGTTTATAAGCCCACGGCAATACCGAATCACGTATGAATGTCGTCTTAAGTAGATTCAAGTCACGTTATGTAAACCTTTCCAAGCAATTATATTTATCAGTAGGGTAACAAGCAGACTGGTGACTAGTGCAAATCTGACTATGTCTTGACCTATGTTTCTGATTTCTGCCAAAAAAGATATTTTACAGTCAAATGTACTTTCAATTCCCAGGAATCATACCGTAATCATTTCTTATCTCGGTTTTTTATTTGTGAAAATGTCGTTGAAATGAGATAATTGTTAAATTTCTCTCTCTCCTTTCATATTACTTAATAAAGGCTACCAGCTATAAATGCTCTTAACTGTATTTAGCCAAGTAGGGGGCGGAAGGGACTTTAAGTACCTGCGGTGATTACAATCTTTTCTCTCTTAAACAGCTTTCAAGCATTGTGATCGTCAAACCTTGAATGAATTTGCCTAAAATATTTCACATGACGTAACGTTTCTATGGAAACCATGTTTCAAAAGTGGGTGCTTTTCAGAAATTTATTGATTTTTAAACCCTCAGTCTAGTACGAATCTGGATTTTATGACGATTTTATTCTGTATTCTCTTTTCATCTTTTCATATCTGGTATCCTTATTCATTTGTTTTTACTGTGTAAACGAGCTATTTTGATTTATTTGAAAACGTTTTGAAATCCAAGCAGTGGAGGACATTTTGAAATATGTGATGTCATTTGTCGTAATCTGACGTCATGGTTGACACCTGATTATCACTAAAAAATGAAAGTTTGGACGCTTCACGTAAGTTTGATTACTAATGAGTTCACAATTCTTTGAGATACATGCATGGATATGAGGAGGCACAAAAAAGAGTCCTTACCTCCCGCTCAGCGAAAGAAAAAACGACCCAGAATAAATAAGATTGATCAAATTCAGGTTCAAAGTCTGTAACGCAAATCATCGAGAAGAGTTAACTCAACTCTTAGCACCAAATATTGATCTAAGTTGAGGCTATTGGACACGAGCACAGGCAGGGCCCATTGTCTTTTGTTCCTTGGCCAAACACGGACCTAACTGTCAGAGTGCCCCAAAACCAGCATAAATTGGCACCGGCAAAAGGCTGGGGTCGCCAGACCTGACGAAATTCTGGGGGAGACGAGCTTTGCACTACGTGTACTATGTAGAAATTAACCTACTGTAGTCGCTTGATGTAACAACAACCACAACAAAAACAACAACGGAAACGAAACAAAAAAAAAAAAAAAAAAAAAAAAGAAACAGGATTTTACTCCGGCAGTGTAGGTGGTTCAAGTAGGACTCTATTTTACCTTACCTAATTACCATTCCAGTTCTATATTACAGAATACTTCCGACTGAGACGTCTTTACAACATAGCTTACACAAAAAAGTAATCTTAAAGTATCTCTTGTGAAAGGTTTATTTACGAGTTGGGGCGGTAGTAGTTGGATGATTATTGAAGCCAAAAACCACAGTGGAAACGGCAAATTAGTCAGTCGGTAAAGCAATGGCTTTATTTAACAAATTCGACTAGGTCTGCACCTGCGTTACATATACAAACCAGAACGTTTTTTGCAGGTCATCCCGGCACGCAACAACATTAAATAGCTGATTTGATATTGCACTGAGCTACATTTGCGTCAGAACGTGAACCACAACGGCTGAGGAACTACACAGTGCGTTTACAGTAATCAGTTCTAAGATAACTGACACCATGCAGTGACCAAAAAAATTAACAGATATGAATTAGGAGATTCTTAAAGAAGATATAAAAGTGTTATATTTTACCAACTCTGTCATCAGCGCTGTAGTTAACTTTGTACTTATCCACTGTGATCTGCTAGTAATGGCTGGAGAGCGTGCAAAGCACCAAAAAGTACGTAATTGATGAAAAAGCTTGTTATGTGGAAGCGTTAATATAACTTTACTATTTCCAGCGACTATTTCTTTTAGTACATTTGCGATTTTGTGGTAAAACCCTTATTAAATTCTTGCTAAATTTAGGATAGTGCTTATAAATTTCAGCCTGGCGATGTCGCTAAAATTTCTAAGAATCAAAGAAATCGCATAATTAATGGTCGCTTAATTTTGCAATAGCCGAAAAGCCGCTAAATTTAGTCGCCAATCCTCCGTACTAAGGACGTGATTGCCTTAAAGTTTTTTTTTGACTGCTTTTCTTCCCGTTCTATACTTATGTTGTTTGGAAAATGTGAAGATGTCACTGACATGCACTTGTAAAACGTCCAACTTTAACTTTAATCACGGTAATCAAAATCGCGAAGCTCCTCTCCGTGTTTATCTGTTTAAAATCGTCAGTTTTTAGGTCATCTCTAGCTGCTCTACTGTCACTTTGGTAAAAACAAGGCTCGATAAATTCAACAATGGCGTAGCAGCGTCCAGCAAAAGAATTAAGCTATGGCTGATTCGTGATATTTTTAGTAAACAATCAGCGCAAAACTGTGTTTATCACACGTACAAAAGATAGAGACAATGAAATAAAAAGTTGTATTTATATAAGGCAGATGTGACAATTGAAATTATCGCTAAAGCTCTCTATGTTCTGCTTTAAAAACGCGGCTTTACATTATTTCAAACTTGCCTATTGGTTCATTAAACATCTCTTGGCTTAACTTCGATGGCGCCAATTGAAAAGATATGTTGAATTTTCACCTTTTTTACGAGTTACAAGGCGATTTGCGTCAAAAAACCCAATTAAAGACCATCTCTGGCAAACTAAATATGATCGGAATTGTTCCGTTTAGTTTCAAAAACCTTTCTTTTATAAATTAAACACCGGACACGATATTGCAACCTGGTGACAGCTGTTGGCCATATCTGTTTACTTTTTATCTGTAATTTTGTACATATTCATCACGTTAAAAGCAATAAAACGTCCAAAACTCAGCAACAAAGTACCCGTCGACATCCAGCGGTGCTTTCAACAGAATAGCGTATTTTTCTGCGGCTCTTTTTGAACGCTAAGTTAGTACTTGATGAAACGTTTCCATTTCCATTCCTAAATTTCTCCATTTGCAACATTTTGTCTTAGTTTGAATACTTGGTCACATGTCTGCCAATGTCAATTTACCGCTAATGTAACGACATCACGTATTGTGTTATCTTGTTTCCAGATTTGTTAGTCCGCGTGAAACAAATCACGGTACATCGGGGTGATAAGCGCACCGCACTCGGTTCGGATATTAAACACTCGTCGAAGACCGGATTGTGAAAAATCAGTTTCAGAAGATTCAACGCTCAAGAAGACTAAACCGCGACTAGGTAAGTGCTATAGAGGCAAAGGTTCCGTAATAAATACGTTTAAAACTGTCTTGGGGGTTAGTAGAGGTTGAATTAGTCATTTATTCATATTTCCGCTCTCAGAAAAAAAAAGAGATATAAAAAGAGTACAACTCCGATTCCATGCAGCAGCGTCTGCATTTTAAACCTGGGTCGCTCTGGTTTTCAAGTGACACGCAGCTAGGCAGTTAGGAAAGCAGGAGGAAATTTGCACTTCTTTATTTGGCTCGGGGGCATCAACCACCAGTACATTATTGCGTGTATACGGCGACTCCGATTAACATTATTTGCCGACGAGAAATGTTCCGTGATCGAAGAGGCGGTAATAAACTCAAAATGAAGCAAATATTACGTTATTCCTTTTTCGACCAGGTTTCGTTGTTCTTTGTTATCAAACAAACTGCTTTTTGTGCTGCAACAGATATTTTAAGATTGCTAGGAGATAAATGCCATTAGAGTAATATATCAACTAACGTAGTGGCGCCAGAGAGAGATCCATTAGTACATACGGACAAATAAATCTGTTCAATACTTACTAAAAACGTCCCGTTTTTAATTTCTCTCAAATTGTCTAGCACTGACCCTTTCGCAAACGTGACTTTCGTTCAAACAAAATATCCCTGTCAACCTCTGAAAAAGTGCCGTCTTCCGCTTCATGTGAGCGATGTTTTTAGCGGCGTCGGGGTTCAGTGAAGATTTTTTTTATTTTGGCACGGAAAAACAGGCTCGAAATAGCAGTAATTCTAACCGAATAATCTTCCTTCACTTTTGACAGACTTCTCAAAAACACGATTCTCGCGTCTTCAGAGAAAACAATGAAATTTAAACATAGTTCCTACGAATTCAGAACAATGTACACGGTATGATTTTCTACTAGATAATTTAATCCGTTTTAATGCTCGTTATTTTTGTTACCCAATTTTAGTTATGATGTTTTTCAGGGTTTTATTGTGCAACAGTCGAACAGGAAGACAACAATCTAAGAGTTAAATTGCTCGTGATTTTTCCTTGTTTGCACTGCTGATGGTTAAATTTATTTGTTTACCAATTGCTTCTCTTGCTCTTGTCTTCTCGTGACCATTCCATATTACCCGTCTTTAGCCAGTAAACTATCTACTTCTTAGGTTATTTATTGGCTTACCTTCAATTTTTCCTTTCGTTTATTTTTCCGTTCGGGTTCATGAAGCCTTAAGTTAAGTTATCACAGACAAATTGTAAGTTAGTTACAGCTAAGCAATATAAACATTTCAGGAATTGNAAAAAAAAAAAAAAAAAAAAAAAACATAACAACAACAGCAGGCGAGTAGAACAAAAAACAATCTTCAAAAAGTGGATAGTTCAGTTCTTCATCGCCAAAATTCTTAACTTGACACATTCATATTTCTAGCCAGCGGTTTGGAAAAAAAAATAGCTGACTTCTTACAGGTAACTAGTTCTTTTCGCGTCTCAGTGGAGAACACCCGATGAAATTATATTGATTCCTAGTCTGATTGATTTCAAGCGCTTTTTACTTGCCACAAGTATCCAGTATAAATCACATTTTCATCATTTCATGATTTTGTTTTACTGCGCTTCGCAATCGGTTTAACGTTTTGGGCCACTTTCTCAATCAAGTTAGGTAGCGTCTAGATTAAGCCGCAGGAATTTGAAAACGAAGCATTCTTTCTACCGTTAGGCCGACTGTCCAAACTAGTCGGTCACGAAAACAGAGCTTTCAAAAAATGCTTTTGAACGAAAAGTAATTTGAAAACGCCGGCTTCTCATTTTCGCGTGGACGGAAAGTATTTTGAAAACGGAGCTTTTCGGAAACGATGACGTCACGATAATCATGATATTTCCCTGACCGTGGTTTTCCTCAAAACACAAATTCAAAATGGCCGGTCATTGTTGCGTTTTTGAAATTTCTCCGGCGTAGTGTGGACGGAAAACAATTGATACATTTTCAGAGTGAAACCTTTTTCAAATTCCTCGGCGTAGTGTGCACGTGGTCTAAAACCAAAATCGATCGCAACTCGCTCGCACGCGTCTTCCCGCGCTTTGCGTCGGTTACATGTGTTTGTCTCGAGCTTTGATTGGTTCACGATTGTCTGTATCCTTTGTGATTGCCTAGAATGAATGCTTTGGTTTTGATTATACGACACTCAATTGAATACCTTATGAAGCCACAGCACAGAATACTTATGAAGCCACAGCACGAGTTTTTGTATTGCTTTTAGATATATGGTCACGGCTTTCGCCAGAATAACAGCAACAAGAATTTGAGGTACATGTTGCATGGAGTCGTAAATCACAAGAGATTAACTTGCGCCAAAGAGAAAAATCGCGATAAACAATATGGGCTAACCCCTAGTATAGTGAGGCAAAATATCTTGTTCCTCGTTAAATTAACCCTAGAATTCTCGAAAGTTAAGTCAGTTAGAGGAGGCCAAAACAACTTTAGATCTGTTCTTACTTTAGTTAGGTACAAAGAAAAAGACGTTTCGGTTGGACCTGAGGGTTTTAACTGCCACTGGTACGGCAGGCACAGATGCCGTATGTAAGACTAAAGTTGATCACAGCCCAGTAACCTTCTATTTACTTTTTCTTTTTCTTTTTCACAGAGGACCTGAAAACGTACAATAAAAATGTTCAACAATTCCAATGGAACAGTGGCAAATGGTAAGGATAATGTACTTCAGGCTTGAGCTTTTGCTGTTTAAGGTATCGATACCAGGCTCCTGTCAATCTCCTTGTCAGAGTTCACTATCCTTCTGGTTGGCACCAAGATTCGGAGCCTCTGTGCGAGCCAGCACTAGAACAGCGGTTGCTCTCGCTGCGTATGTTCAGAACCACTCATGCGCACAATACTTTCGGCGCAAGGATTTTCTGATTCCGCTTTTTGTTTTCGCCCAGAGGGCAGGGTGTTCAGTCACCGCTGACCGTCATGTAACGCGCGAACTCTGGGAAGGAGTTTGGGTCCCTGTAATCCACTTCATCAAAACAGCTCTGTGCTCGTACATTAGCTGCTTCTAGATCCATGTTGCCCTACGAACAGCCGAGAAAAATTGATACAAATAGTGAATTTGAAGGAGATACAAACCGGCATTGGCTCCTAGCTTAGATCATTAAGTGTTTTGCATACCTCCCAACTCAAAAAATAGAAAACAAAACCACGGAACAAAATGATTTGCTTGACGCCAGCTGACAAACAAATTTGCGTCGTTTCAAAGTGCACGATCTGATCACGTGCGAGACGAAAGTTTAAGTTGTTGTTTTCCTAAAGAGTTTTGTTTCCCCTTGGGAATTAGCGAGTTTTGACCCGCGACACGCGACATGTTCTCCTCCAATCGGAAAACGTATCTGAGTTGCGAGGTATAGCAAAACTGCTTAAAGCCCTGTTGACCTCAAGATCAATACAGAAAACTCGCTATTATTGTTCTTGCAAAGGGCAGTTTAGGTCGACTTCTTAATACTAAAATGTGAACAGTTTTATGATTTTTTAATTATTTGCAAGAACTGTTGATGGGCAGGCTGTCAATGAACCCTTCATATTAAAGATGAAACAATATACTTTTTTGATTTCTTTCTCAGCAACAAACTCCACTGTTGCTCCACCGTCACAGTCCTTTATTCCTGTGAGTATCAAGATCGGCATGACGACAGCATATGTAGTGATTTTTATTATTGCTCTATTCGGCAATACCTTTGGCTTGTTCGTGGTGTTGAAGAAGTCCTCTCGATCTACCAGCGTCACGAATCTGTTCATCGCGAACATGGCCGTTGCAGATCTCCTTTTAACTTTCACAGTTATGCCGTTCCAAGTGAGCTTCTACTACCGTGGAACCGCCTGGATTGGAGGAATACTGGGTGACATAACATGCAAGGCTTTATTTTACCTCATCCCAGTTTCAATAGCGGCGACTGTTTTAACAATGATGCTCATTTCATTCGATAGGTTTTATGCGATATTCTATCCTTTAAGAGAAAAGATCTTCCGAAAGCCGAAAATCTTGTCATGCACCATCTGGATCCTGTCTTTTGTGTTGATGTTGCCATATCCTATGTTGTTTCAAGTTCGGTTTAATTCAGATCTAAACGTGGATCAATGTATACAAGTTTGGCCCTGGGAAGATCCAAACGATACAACCCATGCGGAAACTTATCGCGTCCTCAAGATCTTCCACAGCACCGTTTTCGTTCTACTTTACGCACTGCCACTTTCTATAACTATTGTCATCTACTTCTTAATTTGCCGGAAACTATGGCTTCGGAAAATCCCTGGAAACCTAACAGATGGTAATCGCGCCGCGGCTGAAAAATCGAAACGCAAAGTTGTGCGACTGCTGGTCGTCATTGTCGTGATATTTGCATTGTGTTGGTTCCCGAACTATGTCAATCACTACTTTTGGTTCGTACGACCTGATCTATATCTAAAGGGCATGTTACCCCTTGAAGTGGAATTCTTCAACATCTGGATAGGACATGCAAACAGCGCAATAAACCCATGTGTCTATATCCTGCTTAATGCTAAGTTTCGCAAGGAACTTGTCGTGATGCTTGCTTGTTGCCCTTGTCTTCGGGATTACAGCGAAAAGTTGTCTCGTTTCTTGTCCTCAAACAATGACTGCAATGATAACAGTTTTACAACAGGCGGCACCATGTGGAAAATGATGTCTTTTGGTCGAGTTACAGCGTACACCTTACCGTGTAGCCCCACGGGAAATGAAAGAGGACGCACGAATCTCTCTCTGTCGTGGATGAGTGTCAGAGAAAATGGTCCGAAGGAGGAAAAACAGAGTGATAATGCAACGTTTACCACCGCTGACACGGGAGCAGAAACACCCTCAGCTTAGTGACGCGTCGCGCGTTCACCCTTTAACTGCAAGGATAGTTGTTTCTGCGCATTACAGAACAGTTTCCGTCATGCTTTTCAAGAGATAGAGAGGCGTGGCACAGATTTCAAAAAGCTGAGTAGTCGATTCGACAATTGGTTCATGTTTTCACTTCCAACTTGGAACACTATTCCGGAATGGCCCATGCATGACAACTGGTTGATACACAGTGTACTCCTCTTTCCGCCTTTTGAACCTTACTAACCGCTACAGTTTCAATAGGCCAACATTTACGTACTGTATAGGTTTCCTGTCTTAGAAACATCCAGAAAATAGACGTTTGGACATTTGAGTAGTCGGACACATGATCAGAAACGAATTCTGTAGACCATGAACGGAGGATACTCGAGTAAAATATCGAGCCGAGAGATACTATCAGTACATATAAATTATGTATCATCGGAAAATATGTATACGAATCATTCTGTCACATTTCAAAGAACTGTACTGTAGGCAATAAGGTAAGAAATTATTCTAGCCCTGTCCACATATCTCGCGTATAGCCTGCCTCAAAGGGAACAAAGTTTTTGGCAGACTGCATACCCTTTGAGTTTAATTGTCGTAGTTTTCATAATTGCAATCGGAGTACAGTTGGACTCCGCTAATTCGAACTCGGTTTTTTCGAATTCCCCGTAATTTCGAACTCAAAGCCATTTCCCTTGGATTTGCCTTTCAGTCATTTACTATCGACTATTTCGAACTATTTTTCGTTTCCCCCGAGAGTTCGAAATAGCGGGGTTCAACGTTACTGGAATTCACTTAATATTGACAGATTTTGTTTTCCTATACAGTTGAACCCAGCTATTCAAACTCGGATATTTCCCTTGGATTTGCCCTTCAGTCATTTACTATCGGGTATTTCGAACTATTTTTCGTTTCCTCTGAGAGTTCGAAATACCTGGCTTCAACTGTATTTAGTATCAGGGAGTTGGGGGGTTAAAGGGGGAGGGGAGAGAGAGAGTGTGTGTGTGTGTGTGTNGGGGGGGGTAGGAAACCCTTATCCTAAGAGGCCAGACAGCACTACACCACTGAAATAAGCTATACTCGCAAATGGATAATATTAATATTCATATTATTATTAATTTTGCCACAAGCACTTCAATTGACGAGCCTCTTAAATTAAGATGTAAATTAAACAAACTCTCAGAACAGTAGAGTATATGCGAATGAATTTTTTCTTGATCAAAACTGATTCTGACATGTACATACTTCTACATATTATGTACATACTTTACAGCGGATAAATTCTGTCAGCAACACCGCGATATGATATGTTTAGTCATGTTAGCAATGTATAAAATGACTTTCAAATCAAAGAAAATCTCATAGTAATTAACTCCATGGTCAAGTGTGGACCAAGATGAAAAAAAAAACCAGTTAGTTAATAAGTGAGCACCAGTAAAAACTAAAAGGAATGAATGGGTCGAAATTGGAAGACTGGGCCAGGACACAGTTAAGAACGCGAAGAATTGGGAGTGTGCCCAAGAGGAGGCATTCACTCCATTCACTATATCTTAACTGAAACCAACAACAGGACCGTTGATTTAGCCAGATTAAATTAGGACATCGCAGGGTTCATTAAGATGCCCCTTATAAATATTTTACGAAATAGTGAGTTAAATAAACGGATGTAAGTTACAACCTTTTAGTGAATTTAAGAAATTATGTTTCATGGAGTGGCTTCTGAGTCATAAATCACCCGTCGTCTATTAGCGAGGATAACGTCCAAATAATGATGAGTTAATGTGGTTTCTTCCTGTCTCCGAAACTGTAAAATATTGATAATGTAAGATAATGTAACTTATTATTAACTGTGAATAATAAAGAAGTATGATAAGGTGCATAAAAGATTTGAAGTTTGTTTTATAACGCAGTGTCGATTCTGATTGGCTAAAGAACTATGTTTTATGACAATGCAAAATAGGTCAGGAAAGAGCGTTAAATCAGTTCCCCTCCCTCCCAATATTTTCTTTCCCTTTCCTGGGCACTCGTCATTGTGCCTCACCACTACACCGTAGGAGGCTTTGTTCCCTCTCCAAGGATTACCGTAAATCCTCGAATAAGCGCCCCCCCCCCCTCGAATAAGCTCCCCCTTCGAATAAAAGCCCCTCCCATCGACCAAAATTTAAAATAAGCGCCCCCCCCTCGAATAAACGCCCCTCCCCTCCCCCTATTTTGTGGACGAGTAATGAGAGAGAAAAGAATGTATAGGTTTCGTCTTGTAGTATTAGATTTGAACATTGTTTCAGTTTGTGACCGCGTGAATTCCTAATGGTGCCGCGATTTAAACTTTAGGATCAGCTTTTTATGTCGATGAACAGCTTATGTTGTTGTTTAAGTGCTGATGATGCATTAAAAAAATGATCATGTGAGGCCACGATCTGGGAAAATTAAATAAGCGCCCCTCCCCCATCCCCCTCGATTAAGCGTTCCCCTCGAATAAGCGCCCCCGTCCAGTTCTCCTAAATTTGAAATAAGCGTCCCTGGCGCTAATTGGAAGATTTACGGTACACCGGTTAGGGCTAGGCTCCCCTGGTTTTTGAATCCAATATAGCCCGGGAGCAATCAATGTTGTGCGCTCACGTGCTAAAATATAAGAGCTGCACTGCAAGATTTTATTTTAGTGAAAAAAAAACCCCTCCTGTTTAGACAAGCTGCTGTTGATTCAAAAACTGTTCGGCGTTAGGCGTTGTTTTGGAACGGAACGCTCAACGGACCAGGTATTCGATGCCGCCATCTTGGATGATAGAGGTACTTCCTCTGCAAATCTTTCCTCGCCCCAACCCTATGGCGGCCTACTGCAAAACTGTTCACTCTCGCGTCAATAATATGCCTGCACTGCGGGCTAACTGATGTCCAATGGTGTTTTAAAGAACAATTTCGTGGAGTAAAGGTAATGATAATGCACCACTGACAGGTAAGGTAACTTATAAACATAACACCAGAAGATCTAACGATCTCAATGACCTGAATAACAAACATGTTAAGCACATTTTTCCGAGTACATTCGAACCTGTATATAACGGCCACCCTCAGGACTTGAGAAACTGGCCGCTTAACTGTACAAGTGGCCGCTTAACACAGAGTCACTAAAAATACTCACTAGGCGTGGGCTAAGGATATGGTACTGTACTTCAGCACATTGCGAACATCTTGAAAGCGTTGACGATACTAAAAGGCCGATTATCAGCTTACAGCAGCTTTCAGAGTAAATGTTATTTCTTTATAGTGATGATGGATCGCATTTTAAACACGCTATAATACAGCGTAAAATGACACGTGGCTTAGTTTCCGTTCAAGGTGGCCGCTTAATACAGTTAAAAATAACAAAGAAAGACAAAACATAGGACTGCTACAGGGTGGCCGCGGCCGCTTAATAGAGGTGGTCGCTTAATACAGGTAACAAATACAGCGTTTGTATGAGCGAAAAATTGGGACTTTGAAAACTGGCCGCTTAATAGAGGGTGGCCCCTTAATACAGGGCCGTTATATACAGGTTGGACTGTGTAAGCAAAAAGCAATCGATAACAAAAATAACGTAAACGTGCGTTGAGAGTAAGCTTGAAAACAGCTATTTGATTTCGTGTCTTTCATCCTGCCCCCCTGTAGATCACCAGTAGCATCTCTCTAGTAGTCCGTCGAGCGTGACGTAAAAGGAAACGTGATAGAGAGAGCGTGAGAGAGCCAACCTCGTGCCCAGGGTCCGAGGTAGAGAGAGGACCCTGGTAACGAGGTTGTGAGAGAGCTTGGAGAAATGGCCTCCCGAGATGCCTCTCGCGTGATGGCGAGAGCTTTCGTGTCACGCAAGACGGAACTAAGAGGAAACAGGTGCTGCTCGCTGTGTAGCGCTCAAATGCGCGGTTACTCAAAAGTGTGAAACGGGAAGACATAAAAGGTCTTTTGATTACTAATATACTCAAAATATCTAGAGCTTAGAGACCAACTGATGGCCGTTGACACAAACAGATCTGGGCTTTTATTAATTGACCTCTGCAATTTGAGCATTTTAGAAATTCCATCCACAGCAAGTTAGGATAATCTCTAGCTAAGCAATAACGGATAGCAGTGGAAAAATAAAGCTTTCCATTTGCATATCCATCTATACTAATTAATTTTACTTTATTCCCTTGAAATTTAGTGTCCTCGCTTTATAATGCTATCATTAACCACTGATCTTTCCAGCTCCCTTAAAGAAAAGGGGAATTTTCCCTCATCAATTCTAGATTTCAGATTTTTAAATTTTGGTTTGGTATATGCTCCCTTTACATTCAAATTTAGACGAAAAGAGAGTCTGTCGTCTGGCAAGGGGTGAAAGACCTTAGGTATTATCGGATCAACTTTCACTTCCCTCGTAACCAATTAACGTAAACAAACAGAGAATCCGAACAATGCGGAGTTTTATCTTTATTAGGGCTTTTTAATGCAAATTGCTTTGTAAACGTTATCAGTTCCCTACAGTGCTGTTGTTTCGCGTCTTTAAAGCCATCGTATATGCTCCCGGTAAGTAATAACTGTGTTCATGCCATCTTTGTAGATTTCGATTCCACGTTGGCTTGCTTGACTCGCCGAAGTCGTCGTCTAATTATGCTGTCTCTTGGCTTAGATCAAGAGAAAATGAGGTCTTAGATACTATACTTAATGGTGCATATCAGTCATATTAGGTACAGCCATTCCATACATCTTTCTTTTAACATGGTTCTGATTGCAAACAAATGCATCGATTACCAGATATAAGAAGTGACGACGGCGACACCGAGGACGACGCATGGCAAAAATTGAATTCATACTGCTGCCTTCGAATTTCGCAATTACCTATAGTTCTGTTTAGTGCGCTTTAAAATCATGCTCTAGCCCAGCATATAATGACAGCTTTCAGTTCCAAAGCTAAAGACACAACGTGAACTACGACGGGTTCCTGACTACGCAGAACCTGGCCATCTGACATTGTTTTTTCGTAGGGGAAAGCTAAGAAATGTACAAAGATTTATAACGGAACGTGCATTGCCATTCTATTTGTTGATGTTTTCGTTGGCGTCGCTTTACCCTGCTAGTATTGGTTTCTTTCTGGCAAGTCTTTTAGCATCTGCGACGTCGTTCGCGTCTCTTGCATTTCGCGTAGTCGGGTTTCTCACTTCCCCGAAAAATTCGTACACGTTAAAAGACTTGCGAGAAAGAAACCTCTGCTAGCAGGGTAGCGTCGCCTTCGTGGTTTACTTAATCTACCTTATAGTCAAGCACACGTGGATGCACGGAAAATGATTCCACCTCCCCCGTAAGCAGTTGATAGAGAGTAAAATTACGCGTTGCGAACAATAGTACATTGTTTAATGGTGCAGCGTAATCCCGATTCCTTGGACCCTCGATTCTTCGAACCAAAAATCGTCTACGTCCCTTCATTCGAACACTGTAATTTTACCGCCGATTTCTCGAACTATCCGATTTTTTAAACGTACGAAAAATCCGGATTCCACTCACTATCTTTCCTTTCACTAGGAATCCGCGCTCTATTTGATCTTCGGGAGAATCAGTCTCTCCTGAATGACCTGAATGTAAACCTATTCATACCGGAGTTTTTCAGATATCAGAGTGTACGTACAAGTAACAGATTCCTAAGATTGCTGGGTAAGATTCCAACCAACTCTGAACGAACAAATTTGCTGATAAAATATAGCTAGCTTAAATTTTGCCTAATTCGAAATAACTTGAGACAGGTGTTATCTCGATAGATACTTATCCCTCTTCAGACTGGGCTTTTGTCAGTCTGATAGATCGGGGGGTGGGGGAGGGGAAGCTTTAAGGGCCTTACCCTGTAACTTGTCTGCGTGAGCAGTAAGGATGCGCACAAACAAGTAGCGCGAACGTCTTGAAGTCCTTGAAGTGCCACTAACCCCAAAACTTTTTTTCGCTTCTATAAATTTACTTTTTCTCCTAATCACCACTTCGAAAAAATTATCGTTGTAGCTATTTTCGTTAATTTTCCATGAATTTTTTAAGTTTGTACATTTACCCTTTTCCATGTTCACGACCGAGGAATAGCGGAGAATGGGACGAGTTGGCTTTTGACGTCACTTCGGGAATAACAATATTTTGTTTCTGAGAA